CATGTGTGTTTCTGAGTCTATATGTGGTTTTTGTGCTTTTTCTTTGGCTCTATATGTTTTCTGTATATTTTGTCCTATTCTGTTTTGTTTTGTTTTATTGTTGTGTTTTGTATGCCTATTTCTTTCTAATGAGAGAGAGAGAGGGTGGATATGGATGATAGAGAATGGGGAGGAGAGTGGAAGAAGCTGTAATTAAAGTATAGTGCATGAAAAGAAATTCTTAACAAAAATCCTCTACTATATTTTGCTTCTGGAGCTTTTATTTTGATACTTAAATTTTAATTAGATATAGCAGTGTTTATAGAAGAGAAAAATATTTACACTCCTTCAGGCTGACATTGAACTACACTTTATAAAAGGAGACCAGTAGCTATAGAGCCACTATATATATATATATATATAATGTATTACTGCTTGTTTTTCTGAGTCTACACATATGAGAGAAAGCCTACACAATTATAAAACTGAAATTATGAAACTGGTATAAATGTATTTAGTTTCTATGCCTTAGCTATGCCCTAATGTTTTATTCTCATGTGTAAAGCCTAACTTCACCTCTCTAGCTATGACTCTGTGTTCCTTTGTGAGAAAATTTGTTTTTCTTATCCTGATTTTCTCTCTTTTCTTTTTCTTTTATTGAAAGTAGTCTTTACCACTCATTTTTTTAAGGACCAAGAGATATGTTTGCATATAAAGGAGAGCAAACACTTTAAAAGAATTTTATTGTGTACTTTCAGAATACTGCTGGAGTCAAAGGTGTGTGTGAGGAATTAATCCGTATCAACCTTTAACAGTCCTTTTCCTTATTTTTTTCTCAATATTTTAAATTCTTAACATTTAAAGATAGAAAATAGAAACTTATTTATAGAAGTAATTCTCTCTGCTTTTCTGCCTCTGCCATGTGTATGTTTTTGTATGAGTGTGTTGTACTGAGAATCAAACCTAGACCTTTATATACAGGCAACTTTATAACTACTTAGCTACATCTTTGTCAGCCAAAAAGTTTTTAAAAATATTTTCTGTTATCTGAATATTAAGAACATTGGGCAGCAAAACAAGTTTCTGTTTCTAACTCTAATTTTGGATGCTAATTATTTAATTTTTAAAATTTTGTTACTTCCTAATCTGAAAATGGTTAGTTTGGTTCAGTAGGAGAGTTAAATGAGATTTCAAGCATAAAAGCAATTTCCTAAGGATATGAACTTTCAAATATAAGTGTGAGGCCCAATTTTGTTAATTTGACTTTAGTCTCAAAATAACAGATGACTCTTTTGAAGTAAGTGCTTTGTCCCTGTAATATTTTAACTAACTAAAACTCCCAATAATCTCCACCAAAGATTTTTCTTTGTCCAGTGACAATTTGGATTAAATTGTCAATTTAAAATTATTACATATTAGAAAATAAAAAGGCAAGAAATATCCTAATAAAGACTTAAGAATAATAGGATTTTAAAATTTCTTCGATATTAAATTGAACTTAGTAAGTGCCTTGAAGGCAAATGCATCTTTTAAACTAATTATCTGTTCTGTGTATTCTATTTAATATTAAAAAGATACTGATTAAATAAAATCAATCACATTCCTCTGTAGTCACAGTTCTCGTTGATTAAATAAAAATATACAGTTCCTGTATTAATTCTAATTAAAAATATATTACACTGAGAATTATACACTCAAGGTAATTTTCAAAACTAAAACATTTATTCATTTCATGCTCAATATTTAAAAATATGTACAGAAGAGTGGAGAAGCAGTAATATGATATCTGAATTTATGTCCTTGGGAAATAGCAGCTGACTTCTTCTGCCTGAGGCCTTCATGTAATTCGAGAAGCTACAGCCTGAGGGCATGTGAATTTAACAGTCACCCTTCACCTTCTCTTCTGATTGTAGGAAGCTCATAGATGGAACATTTTCACTCTTCAGCAAGGGTCTCTCGGGAGGCAGAGTGCCAACTGCAAAGGTTCTCAGGGCTGGTGGCTTCCTGTCCTAGGTGCTGATGGCACCTGACCTGAGGCAGGCCTTCAGTTTCGTGTGCTTCTTTTTCTCATTCTTAGTTACTCTGTTCCAATGGTCAGAGAAGTTCAGCCTGCCTCCTCACCTTCTCCATCTCCGTGGATCTCTGCTGAACCTAACCACGTTAAGTCCAGTGGCAAGCTAATATCTCTCCTGATATAGGAAAGAGGGATCCTTGTATTAGTATCCATAAACTATTTACTCAAGACAAGGTAACACAGTGACAGAGAGATGTTGAGCTCATTCTATAATAATTTTATTTGTTTGCTTTTATGCCTGTTGGGGTTTTTGCCAATGAGATATATCACTTTGGCTTTTGACATTAGTACTTAGATCTTTTACTCACATCTGCTTGTCCCTGTGGTTTCCTACCTTGAGACCTTTGATGTTAACTCATACCTCTGTTTCTTAACCATCACACATTGGCATGATACCAACACAATGGAAAAGTTACATTCCTGCCTGTGTAGGCTCCACCACATTTGAATGTTTATGGTAACTAGCTCCTTGGGTATCATACATTTTTTTAGCACTCTGACCTCCAGCCCTCTCTGCTTTCCTTTTCCACCAGCCTACTGACTCTATTTTCTCATTTTGGGAAATAGAACTCTAAGTCAACATGAAAACATGCTCTTTATTTCTTTCCCATCTACATATAGCCATTCCTTTTCTCCAAACATTACTTGCTTATATCAGAATAATGCATATTTTTATTTTAATTTTATTGAGAAAATATTGTCATAGATTTCTAAACTATGTAATGGAAAAGTAACACATAACTTATTTTCTCTCAACTATATAATACTTAACAGACACATTACAGAGATTATTGGGAAATATCAAACTTATATACAATAACTGCTGGTATGTTTTTCATGTATTTACAACTGTTTCTGTATATGCGAGGTTATACAGATTCATATTAATACATTTAAAAATGCATTTATACTTATAAGTACTGCATGCCCTATTCTATGCGCACCTATTTGTATAATATTTAATTTAAATAATCTATATTCCTTATTAACTTAGATTTTTACAGTAAGTCACATCTATTTTGAAACAAAAACCCAAAATATTTCAGCAAACACCTTTTACTATTAAGCATAATTTTCTGCATAATGAAATTATTATCCTGACACCTAAGAAAACGAACAATTCATATTACTTGTTATCCCGCCCAGGTATAAATATCGATGATTATCTGAAACATTATTGTTTTCATTCATTTATTTAGATGCTAGGGAAATAGAGTTCTATTTCAGACACGTGCATTGTATTCAGTTGTTACACTGAACCATTTGTAGAACCACAACCACTTCATTTTGCTTTCCAGTTAGTTGTTCCCTCCAGAAGACAAAGGAGAATGCACTTTTCGAAGTTGGAAACTTTTTGAGACTCTTGCTGACCACAGTCCTTGCTTGCTCAAGGACTCACATTTTGGTTGCTCAAGAGTCTGTTTTCCCTAGTTGGTGACATAAGACTGGACGAAGATAAAAAGGAGAGAGATGAATGCTGTGGTGACAGATTTGAACTGGATTTGGTAGAAATGGACAGATTCTGTCCATCAGTCATTGGCTCACCTGTTCCATACACTGGATGGATTAGAAATCAGGATTATTATTAAAATCAAGAATCGGTGAAAACTCTTATCAATCCATAATAGCATCAATTATTTTTATAGATTTTTTCTCATCTGTGATATATTAGACTAAAATTTCTTTTTCAATTTAAAGAAAATGATTTGAATTCTATGGCAGCAGTATTTGCTACTCCTGTTATGAAAGACCTTGCTAGAGCTATAGTCCAGAAAACTCTTTCCTCTTACACACACACACACACACACACACACACACACACACACACACACACATGCATTCCTCAGGTGACTTAGAATGTCATAGCACTGGTAGATAATGGAAGATATACTGTCATCAAAGCTAACATTTTTGTACTTAGCCTAATCTTTATAAACTATTCTCCAATATAACAATCTTATTATTTGATTATATATAAATTTTAGAAATTTACTAACAGTAATGGGGTAGTACTATCTTACTTGTTTTCAGATGATGGCAGGGAACATGTACCATTAGTTCTGCTGCCTCTGAAAGGCACAATCTATAGGATGACATGATAGCATGTGGGTAAGGGAACGCTGGGATGAATAAGGGGAAAGGTGTGAAGTTAGAGAGGTGGCTGTATGAAAGTCAATGCCAACTAAGGGCGAGTTCTTTCGAAAAGACATCTTTGGAGGTGTTCCTTATCTTCTAAGTTGTTCAAGACTTTTTATTTTTGTCTTTTTTATTAATTTTTAGGTTTTTTTTCACTCTACAGGTCCTTTGTGTATATATTATAGCTTCTGGTTCTATGTTTTTATGGGATGCCTGAGTGTGCAAATGGGTGGATCTCTTGTATTTATATCTGTTCCTCACGCTTTTTTCTTGGGCTCTTTTCTTTCTGTTTGTTTGCTTTGGTTCTGTTTTATTCCTTAGAAGCCAGTTTGTTCCTAATGAGAAACAAAGAGGCCAGATCTTGATGGGAGGGGCTTGGGGAGCCACTGGGAAGAGTTGAGGAGGGGAGGCTGTAACAGAATTTATTAGATAAAAGTCTATTTCAATAAAAAGAATACTCTTGGTGATTACAGTAGCAACCACCTTGAGAGTAATAAGACTATCACACTAAAAAGGTACAATGTACAAAGGCACGGGAAGCCAAAGTGCTTGAGGGACTGTTGTTGGTGCAGACTGAGGTAAGGAAGGCATTGTTGAGTGAGTCACTTCACAGTCTCCCATGTTCTGCTTCGAGAATTCCTTGTTTGGTGGAAAGAGGCCCGTTTATCTATTCCAGGGAAACAAAAAGTAAATGGAGGACTACGGTTCCGATTCATGTAGCTCGCAGATATATGGTGGTATGAGCACATGCATTGGGGTTTTGTTTTCAGCTGTGGTTTTTCTGCTTTTATATAAACTTCTCTTTTTTCAGACTATGCCCACCGCAGGAGGTTCCGTTCCTGAGGTATGTAAGAAAAAATGTTATAACTGTTCCAACTGGGAGTCATGATCACCTTATATTGATGTAAGGGGTATTTTCAATGGTTCCAAATGATATATGATGTTAACATGTTAAAATTAATACAAAATAAAATAAGCATCATTTATTATCTTAAAGACTTCAATTTACATTTCTGACAATATTTAAAATATCAGATATTATGTGACACAAAATATCTAGAGAAAAATTAGGTTATTTTTCAAAGAGTATGACCGCCATGTATTATATTCATGTATGAAATTCTTAATAACAATGGTAAAAACATGGTAAAAATCCAAACCACTTCAGCTCCCGAAGACCATTAGCATGTAGTGTTTGATAATAGTGTGCTGAGAAACTTCACTCACATAGACACACGTATCATTTCAAAACAGTGAAACAACATCGTGCAGCATATGGCACCATACGCAGCTTAATCAGAATACTGTGTAGTCAATGTTTGCAAATAACTGTAAGCATTGACACAGCAATTAGGTAATTTTAATGAAATGCTATGTTTTACCCTTTCATTAATGTAATTAATCATCCATATTGTTCTATGACAATATTCCATTCAATAGCTGTTCTCTTATATGAATTGCCAAGAGGATTTGTTCTTGTTTTTTTTTTTTTTTTTTTAGAAACAAAATAAAATCCACCTTCTTGGGAATAGTTGTTATTTTATTTTAATATATGACTACTACACAGAAACACATTTAATCAGAGAATGGCTAGATTGTAAATCTCATACTTATTCCCCCTTCCCCATCAAAGTACATTCTGCAGAATAAAGTGGTTCTAAGAGTTATCATAAGGCTCAGTTTTAATGATACACTCACTAGAAACCATACTGAGAGATTTTTTGAAATACGATGTTTCTAATCTGAAAGAAATATGAGTGTTTTAATCAAATTGGCATCATTACTATCAATTTAATATAAAGCAGAGATGCTAGATTATATATTATAGTGACAGAAACTTTAAAAGTTTATCATTTCATTGCTTTCACAATGGTGAGGAAATTGACCTTACATCTTCAAGTCTATAACTTTATTCTTGCCTCTATTGTAGGTCTAGTTGGTGACAATAAATTAGAGGTTCAATCATGTTATTTTGTTCATCTAGAAAGGTACCCATATTTGCTACATGATGTGATTCATGTACATTGATTGAAAATTTCAAACTATCTATTAATATGATATGCTGTTTTTACTTTTTTACAATAGAAACTTTTCTGTATTGTGTTTTTTAACGTCTTCCTACAGGCAGCTTTATTTTCGTAATAAGATACAATGCTGCTCTAAATCCAAACATACATTTATAAATCTTAGTGTGTCACTATCCTTAAAAATTATCCTATATGTTTTATTTTCATCTATTTTGTTCTAAAATATCCTTAAGCTCAAATATGGATATATGCATGAGGGAATGCACAAACACATACATACTCACTCCACTTACATCCTTATATTCTATTCTGCAGAATGATTTCTAACATGTTGGTGGAATATGCATTTAAAATATTAGCATGACACAGAGAAACACACACCTATATTAAGCATTGAACTTTTGAACTATTAATAACGAATCACACCTTGTACATAGGATCCAAGACTTTCCTGAGAGGCCATCTTCTCTTTAGTAACACAAAGCGTTTCTTGACTGTAGCAGTCTTGTGGCCCTATGACATTTTCATTTGCTTTAAAGTACTGCGAAATTCACGGCATTCATTCCCCAAACGAGTTGCTTCCACACCTCCTCTCCACACACACAGACCAATAAGCTACTTTTTATGGCAACAAACCTGTCTATTCATATTCTAAAAGCTAAAGGGTGAGTAATAATTACATTCTAACTCTTTTTTTACTTTTATTAGTTACACATTATTCACTTTGTATCCCCCCATAAGCCTCTCCTTCCTCCCCTCCTAATCGCACCTTTCCTCCATTCTAACTCTTCTTAATAAAATGAGAAAGTTCACTTTAAACTGGCAGAACTGTGTTGGGGCTGCCACTGCCTTCACTGTGTTGAACTTTTGCTAACAGACTCAGTGATTTGAATGTGTATGGAAGACCTGCTTCCCCTCTCTAAGGTTCTAGAAACTGTAGCCGGCAGGAAGCATGTGTACACAGTGATGCAAGCAAGCATACAAAGCCAGATTTTAAATTAGATATATCATGCTGTATTATTTTGTATTTGTGCTGTTGTTTGTTAGTAAAAAGTAAATTAAATTATTTAGACAGAGGTACTCCCATTCTTCAGTGGTCTTCTTTCCATTTGGGAAATTCTAATGGAAAGACTGTATTGTATACTCATCTCTGAAGTTATCCAGGGAATGAGGTATAGGAACCCAGCACATCTGGTTCACGTCACAAAACATGCCTTCAAGTTTAGGGGTTGAGTGAGTACTCACCCAGAGCTACTAAAAGTCGGCTGGATTTTATTCTGAGCTGCGGTATCCCATCTCCTCAGAGATAAGCAACCCAACAGCAAGTATGCCAGGGTAGGAGGACTTAGTCAGCAATGAAGCCCTCGAAAGTGCTGCTTTTCGTCACGTTCACTACAGTGTACAGCAGCAGCCTCCTGATGAGCTGAGTGACAACAGCGAGGCTCCTGTCCTTCTTCAAACGCCTGCTATTACCGGGTTGTTATTTTAACAGCACTAGTGTCTCCATTTTCTCTGTTTATCCTGGTATAAATCTTCCCACCTTGAAGGTGACATAAATGCTGACTTTGCAGTGCAGTAAGCTCAGTAATAAGCAACAACGCCCGGGCCTTGCTCTAAGTCCATACACACGCCTTTGTCCAGCATTACTTTCATTTAAGTAAATGCTTATTTAAAACTGAGAAGTGGAATCTGGGAAGACACTTAAATGTTTAAGATCATTTGCTCCTCTTGGAGAGGTCCCAAGGTTTCATTCTCAGCATCCACATGGCAGCGCACAACTGTCTATAACACTGGTTCCCGGGCACCTGCCACCCTCTTTTGATACCTTCCTCTGACCTCCATAGGCAACCATGTGGTACCCATACATATATGGAGTCCAGTCACTCATACGAATAAAATAAAATAAATAAATCCAAAAATATTTCAAACCATGAAACAGGTATCATCAGAATTTATATCATTGTGCTTAACTTTTATGAATAATTTTAACCAAGAATTCTGGTCATCAATGAAATTTTACTATAGTTTCCCAGGATTTCCTATAGATTTCAAGGCTTTGGCTTTTTTGAGGTAAATTTGGTCAGTAAAATATTCAAATTTTAGAGTAGGTCCCCCCAACCTCAGGGATAGCTGTGTAGCTGTTAGTAGGTTTGTGTCTTGAAGCTTTTAAGTTTGTGACCCCTGATGTCTGGAAAGGACTCAAACACCGTAAGCAGGAGCATGACAGTGTCGGGTCAATTTCACAGCATTTCTGGGTGATTTCTGCGGTCTTGCTCCTGTCTCAGAAAGGGTGGTAATCCCATGCGTACCCCTCGTGCAGTGGCAGAACAGGCAAGTTCTGGGCTCCAAGCAAATGCTGCAAACGGCAGAGCACTCTTCTTTGTGGCTTTGTAAGAAGCTAAGTGCTCTGCGGCTGTTCTCTCACGCTGAGGCTGCTCGGAAAGGAGAAAGTCCTGAGCTGGAGGTAATCATCACTCGCTGCGTGTAGTTGTCGCGTGATCGATGGTAGCAGGCTTAAGTATTGTCATGAACATCTCTTTTGAGAGAGCGGTTTTCACCAGTGTACAAACACTCTTCCTCTTAGAATCAGCATGGTACAGAAAAAGCTTGTTTGTAGAGCACATATTTAAAACGGGGTCTTTTTATTTCATTTTTCCATCTTTCTATTTTCTGTGAATGGTGGCCCGCTTTTCTGTTCTGTTTATTATGATGATTATTCTCCTGGAATTCTAATACAATGCATTCCCCGTTAAGATCTGTTGCGTGACTCGCGAAGCCTGAGAATCACAGAACATTGAATTCTGTGTTTAAAATGTCTGCATAGCAAACACAAGCAGTTGATATTTGAAAATGCTCAAATATCAATAACTGTATTTTTTATTTTGTGGTTATGTGTTCTATATTCTCGTGGTTTTTTAGAGTAGTTCTTTTCAATGTTTGAATAATTTCTATTGACTAAATCAACAATTTTCCTACTCGTTGTTATCTAGGATAACATATCTTGCAGAAGAAAAATTGAATTACCTTGTGATTTAGAAGTCAAAAAAGCTGAAAAACGAAACTGCAGGTTAAAAGCAAACCCAGCTCATAAATGTTCTCAAAACATTTTTCTGTGTGATGTTGAGGGGATGGGAAGACTTTCCTGAAACTGAATATTTTAACATTGGGAATTTGGGCTTTTAATATAATAATGTAGTTTGCCAGCAAGGTTAATGCACTCTTAGAGGGGCATGTGGAACTCTCTGGACAGCACTTTTCAAGGATGCAAGTGTTTCCCCTCCTTGGTCCTCATAGGAGAGAAAGCAAGCAAGGATTTTCAAAGTGGATGTCAGAGACCCCATCTAACTATTCTCTTTGTGAACTGATGCTGTGTACGTAAAACACCATAAATATCTCAGACATGTTGGAAACGGATGTTAAACAGATGAGTATAATAATAAGCAAACGGGATGGGGACTAAATGATCAGTTTCTCCTCTGCGTTTTACTTACAATCTTGATTGTGTCTCCAAATTCACCCAACCAACATTTCTCCCTGAACCAAGTAACAACCTTGTTTTCCTGATATATGTGCTTTTAAATGAATGATTAGCATTTTAGTAGTAGGTAACTTATATACAGAAATGTAAAATAAATAACATGTTCTTTTTTGTACTGCGGGCTTTGAGAGGCTAGGCAAATGTTCTAACATGGACTCAGCCCCTCCCCCTGTACTGAAGATCTTCAAAATTGCTCTATAGATAATTTTCTTGCAATTCTAGATTTCAAATGTAAAATCTCATCAGCAGAAACCTCAATTTTGAGTTTTAAAGTATTTT